GTTGAAGGCTCTATCAGCAGTAGCAAACCAAAGAAAACTGTCCTTCTTAAGCAATTCAGTGAGAGGTCTGCTGATTGCTGCATAATTCTGCACAAATTTTCTGTAGTAGCAGTCAGGCCGAGGAACCCATGTAATTCCTTGACATTCTTGGGAACAGGCCACTTGACCATAACCTCCACCTTACTAGGATCAGTAGCCACGCCCTGTTGACTGATGACATGACCCAAGTAATCCACCTCTCTTTGAGCAAAAGAACACTTGGATGGTTTGGCAAACAAGGAATGTTGGTGAAGTATTTGAAGGGTTCGGGACAAATGCTGGCAATGGGAAGTTTGGTCAGGGCTGTATACAAGGATGTCATTGAAGAAAACGAGGATGAATTTACGAAGATAGGGACCAAAAATCTGGTTCATAAGGGCTTGGAACGTGGCTGGTGCATTGGTCAGCCCAAAGGGCATGACTTTGAACTCGAAATGGCCATGGTGGGTACGAAAGGCGGTTTTATACTGGTCATGTGGGTGCATTCTGACCTGGTGGTAGCCAGAAAGAAGGTCAAGTTTGGTAAAATATTTTGCCCCACCCAACTCATCTAACAGATCATTTATAACAGGGATTGGAAATTTGTTCTTGATAGTGATATAATTTAGCTGGCGGTAATCAATACAAAAACGCCAGTAACCATCTTTCTTAAGTACTAAGAGGACAGGGGACGCAAATGGGATTTGACTAGGTTGGATGAAATCAGCTGTCATCATCTCATCACACAATTTTTCTACCTCTACTTTCGTGGGAAGAGGGTAACGGTAAGGTCTGAGGTTAACAGGGGAGGATCCGGGCTATAAAGGAATGGTATGGTCACAATCACGGGAAGGGGGAAGGGAAGTAGGTTTGCCAAAGACATTTTTGTATTCATCAAGGATAGGTTGCACAAAAGAGGGTGGAGTAGTACCTGAAGGTGTGGCAGTGGTCATGGAGAAGATGTGGCCTGTCCAAGATGCACCTTTCTTCTTAAAATACTTCTCCTAACTCTCCCCTGACATTGTTTGACATTTTCCAGCCTCCTGAACCCCATACAGCTCAACCTCAACTCCATCCATATCAAATACCAATTGCAGGTTCACAAAGTCGAACTTGACTGGACTAATGGTGCGCAACCAATCCAGTCCCAATACCAAATCATTGGATCCTAACTGCAAAATTTTAACATCGAACTAGAATTGAAACTCCTGCATCGTCCAAGTGAAATCTTTGCAAACTGAATTACTCATCAACACAGTCCCATCGGCCAATTTAACCCGCAAGGGAGCAGCTTCTTGCAATGTACACCCTAACTCTGCTGCATTTTGGGCATTGAGGAAGGTGTGGGTGCTCCCAGTGTCCACCAAAACCAGCAAGGACGCCTTCTTAACTTTACCCTTGATGATCAAAGAGTTGGCAGAAACGCCACTGCTGAGTGCTTGCATAGTGACCTCAATCAAACCTTCATCCTGATGGGCCATGTGTTCCACAGTATCTTCAAAAATACTGTCGTCTTCATCACTCCAAGGCTCAGGTTCCACAATATCACCTTCTGTAGCCTGCAAAGCATTCAATTGCCGCTTGGCCTCACATACATGGCCGTAAAAGTATCGATCCCCACACTTGTAGCAAGCCCCCTTGGTCATCGCACCCCTGTTACCATTACTGTTAGTTGGTGGAATGGACTTGGCTGGGGTGGATTTGGAAGGCTCTCATTTCTTACCAGTAGAGCTCGAGGAAGAAGCACCAGGAGTGAAACCTCCAGTTGGACGAGGTAGAGGCCCCCCAAGTTTCTTTCGACGAGCTTCGTTAGAAACTTCTTCCAATCGAGAGAGTTGGAAAGCATGAGCCAAGGATCGTGGTTGCCACATGGACATCACCGGCCGCAATTCTTCCTCCAAACCACTAATGTTGCTCGAAATGAAATATTCTTCGGTCAAGGTTGGATTGTAGCGGATCATCTGCGATTTAAGTTCTTCAAAACGCTCCTGGTAAACAAGCAAGGAACTATGTTGACGAAGCTTGTTAAACTCGCCAACAACACCACCCAAGGACCAATCACTAAACCGATTGCACAGGGCAGACACAAACTCCTCCCAAACTAACTCCACACGGCCAGTTTTCCATCCTTCGAACCAAATATCCGGACGACGATCAAAGTAAATCGAAGCTAGTTCAACTTTCTGATCCGCAGGAATTGCATAGATCGCAAATAGCTTTTCGCATTTGCGAGTCCATTCTCGAGAATAATCCCCATTGAGGGAAGGGAAATCCAGACGCGGTAAGGGAAACGGATTGTTACCAAAATGAGGCGGAGGAACTCGCTGATGCAGGTGTGGAATTTGATCAGCAACGCGATTCCCCTGCGCCTGAGCTCGTTGCATCCCTGCGTCTGGCTCCAGTGGTCGACGCGCCTGTGGAAAGACAGCTGAGGTAAAATTCCGCGGTCTTCGTTCCGAGCAACCAGCGGAGCATCCGCCTCGGCAACGACTACCTGTCGCCGCTGGTGACCTAATTCCGCAAGACGGCGAAGGACTTCGTCGAAGCGGCCGTCCAATCCATCAATCCGAGTGTTAAGCGTGGCCATCTGCAGCGAGTGACCGTCGGCCTTCGTTGACAAGTCGTGGAGCTGGCCGGCATGTGCGCGAAACTGCTCGCCCGTCGTCATCATCTGCTCATCCATGGCGTGCAAATGATCGCCGATCTGTTGAATCTGAGTTTCGACGGCGATGGTGCGGTTGGTGAACGTTGTGAGCTTCTCCTCCATTATTGTCGTCGCCATCCGGTCGAGCGAAGGCTCTAATACCAAGTTGTCACAGCTAGGGTGGAGAGTCTCGAGAACTCGACGAGATAGCAATGGCGACCTTCTGTCCAGTGGATCGTTTGGAGACGTTGGACTGGAGGGAAAGGTTGTTACGCAACTAATTGGTAAAGTACGAGAGAGAGAAAGAAGAGAGAGATAGGAAGAAAGAGGAGAGAAAATTGTATTATTTCCAACGTTAACTGAACCAGTGGGCCCAGCTCTACTTATACGATCCGTTTTGCCATATTACACCAACACTCCCACTTCTCACTCTCATCCTCATTCTTTTATTTATTTACAATTTAAACCCATCTGTTACAGAAACAGGGTCGTTCTGAAACAAGCCCGATCAATAATGACGAGCTCAAACATTCACTTTGGGGGGTTCAGTCTTAAGAAACACTGCAGTGAGAGCTTCCTTGGAATGCAAGGAAGCATTCAACAATGCCAGAGCCTGCAAACAAACAAAACATACAAACATGTTTATAGAGCATATACAAACTAACAACAAAAAAACTCTGCCTTGAAAAAAAAACATCATCAATGGATCACCTCAGAAATCCCGAATTCGACCTCCTTCTCCACCACGTCACCAGGGGATGCAAATATCAAAATTGACAAATGTCGTGCCCGAGATTTTCACCATTCCAAAATTGGTATTCTTCTCAAGGAAATTTTTTGCTCGTTGGATGACTTATCGTATTACTCATTATTGTTCATAGGACGTTCTAATAACAGGGAAGCTCATTCAGTGGCTCGTCATGTTCTATTCATGTCGCTCCGTATTGTTAAGGGTTCGACTTCGTCTCTTGATTACGATGTATTTAGGAGTCCTCGTGGCTCTTATTCAGATAATGTATTTTTTTCTTTCCCCACTCTTGGGATATTGAATGGGGAAAAAAGGTATGTATTGAGGATGCGGTGCTGAAAGTTTGCGGGGCCAAGTGAGAATATAATAAGCAATTGATGAACATATATACGGGCCAAAGTGAAAATAATAGTAAGTAATGGATTCTCACATTCATAGGATATTGGGCTAGAGTTTAACAGACGAGTGGCAGCTAAGGGCAGAATTAATGTCGAGTGAAAATTACCTGGGTATCAGAAAATTGCTCTATGAGCTGCAAATTTGAATCATTAAAAACTGGCCACAACTCCATTATAATATATCTGTAGATAGGTGTGTAGAGATGTCGAGATAAAGTACTAATCTAAAAATTTAATGATTGACATGAGATTTACCATTTGTAGATACTCACATCCCAATATATTTGTAGATAGGGTAATGTCTTTTTTTTATCCAAATCTTTTTAAGATTATTTTGTATTGTCGAAACCTATTACAATTCTATTAGTTATCCAAATCGTTCATAATACATCAAAAATATTAGCCATTTTTATGTTATCGTTAATAATTTTGTAATTCTTTTCTTAGTTAAAATACTAAGATTTTGGAATGTTAACTTTCATGAGTCTCTTCCAAGTCAGTATCATGTTGCTAAGTCAATATCGCTAACAAAATTGCTAACTGGAAGTTAACATTTGGCTAATTCTTAGTATTTCGATAAATTTAAATAATATAAAAGAATCTGAAAAAAAATTGGATAAAAAATAGACATTATCTAAAAAAACGCTATATAACTTTCAAGACTCACCCATCATCTTCCTCCACTCTCACTTCTTCTCCCGTGATTTTCTACAAATCGTTTGAAAGTGATCGTACCTAGTTCAACCAACAGGCCAATAGAGATTGGACAACTTGACCGACTTTATTTTTCTCTTTGTATTTCTCTTTATTTGACAATACAAAGCATATAAACTTTGACCTGATGAAGGATCATAAGGTGTGATCCCATCCCTCTTTGGTTCACAAAAATGATAAAGCTACTGATGATACATGGGTCATAAAAAGAATAGGAATAAACGAAGATATATATAACTCAATAAGCTAGGCGTAGGCTTGCCCCATAATTTCCCAATTCCATGCCCAAATTAATCGACTGCATTCTCCTATGCTGTTTTCATGTGTTGCCTTCTAGTGTGTTACATTATACCAACCATAAATCAATTTCCAGCCTAATCTAAACCAGTAAACCACCGCAATCGAACTCCACCTTAAAGCCTCCGATTCGAACAATTGATCAAACGTACAAGGTAACCCTAATCGTTCCCACAAACGGGCATTCTGATGCAATGTATTATTAAGACCAACGTATCAAGAAATATTATCTATTTCTCCTCATCATGATAACAAGGAAATCCTAAAACACTGGTAAAACAAATTAAGAAACAGTCAAACGGTGGACATCGATTTGGCTGCATGGAGAAGGAGAGGTTACGAACTCAAACATTCACTTTCGGTGGTGCAGTCTTGAGAAACACGGCAGTGAGAGCTTCCTTGGAATGCAAGGAAGCATTCAACAACGCCAGAGCCTGCAAACAAAACATACAAACATGTTTATAGAGCATATACAAACTAACAAAAACAATAAAAAAAAACTCTGCCTTGAAAGAAAAAAAAACATCATCGATCGATTCACCTCAGAAGTCCCGAATTCGACCTCCTTCTCTACCACGTCACCAGGGTCGCAGCGCTTGAGAGCACCCAAAACGGAGTTGAAATCCAACGGCGAAACCGACAGGTCGTCGGCCACCATGTATTGGACCTTTTCCATGACGTAGTCCGCCTCGCTGGCGTGCGTGACGTCCTCTCGGAGCTTTGGTAGAATGGAGGCGATGGTGTACAGTTGAGGGACGAGGACGCGACTGCAAACGTTGTAAGGAGCCTTCATATACCCTTGCTTCGTCATCGAAGCGATGCTGCCGTGGAGCTTACCGATGCTGCCTGGGACTTCTTCGTCGGCGCCGGCCAGGTACTTCACCACGGCGCTTAAAGGAAGGCTGAGAAAGTAAATCAGAAAGTCCACCAAGTCCTTCTGGGCCTCGGCCAGAATCACCTTCTTCTTCTTCTTGTCAATCACCAGCTTCAGCTTCATCGTCTTGCTGCTAGTGCTGCTGGACGACGCCGTCTCTTTCTTTACTTTCGATTCCATAGTTTTGCCTGTAGGTGTCGAAAAATCCTTGCTCATCCCGACTAATGCCGAACTTACATATTTATGGAGTAGAAACCCTTAATACGTAACCCTAACTACCTCAAACCCTAATAACTATTCTAGCTGACTCGGCTAACACCTCCAACAGACTCCTACTTAGCCCAAACTTACTAACACATTGGTCCATGCACTAATAAGTAATAACCTACCTAACAAATTAATAACCCAAATGTACACCCGTAATATTATTAACAAATTAAACGTATACCACTAACCCAAAAGCTAGCCCAATCTGCGCGAGGTCTCTGTTAATGAGATTCCTCAATCCCTATAAACTGTACCACTTCCTCTCCCTTACGTCAAGGGGAGTTGAACTTTATTTTATGGAAGTGTAAGGGTTGTCAATGTCATGGGGGCTGATGTCCATTGGCTTGGAACGACAATGAGTCAGGTTGGGCTGGCTATCTTGATACTCATTCGTGCTTTGTGATAGACTGCGTCAGTGGCGGATTCAGGGGGTGGCCATCCTGGCTCCAGTCCAGCCCTCTTTTGGATTCGGAGCTAATATAGTCCATATGAGTTTATATCGATTTTAGCTATTCGATCCAATGTTATTTTATAATAAAATTGTGTGTAATTAGGAAAATGGATCAAATGAACATATTCAAATCACAACTCTAAATTTAGCCTAGAAATTGTAGCTCCTACGATTCTCGTCTAAAGAAAAACAGACAATGAAATCTAAAATTCTAAAAGTATAAAACGTAAAGTCGGCAAGAAATATGAGGTTTGGTTCCTTGAAAAATAACTAGAGCAACGGGTGGTGACTCGCTATGACACAACTCCTAACAATGACCAAGTGTAACCAATGAAAAAGACTGCAGTATAGTGGCTCAAGTAATAAATATCGAATCCACGCGTCTCTAGAGTTACTATTACTCAGCTTCAGTTCATTATCTAGCAAACCATATTAAGATAGAACAACTAAAACTACTATAGCAAACTATAGTTAAAGTTAATCTAATTACAGGTTGGGAACTCACTTAGGTATGATTCCCCCTAGCCACTAGCCAGATTAATGATTGATGATCTCTAACCTGTTTCACTTTCATTCACAAAGCGGATAATCCTTGACTAGACCTTGAGTCTCTACTAAAGGAACAAGGCCCTCTTGAGTCAATTGCCTAGAGGGACGTATCCTTCTCTAGAACAACCGATCAAGGCGTTCTGAACTAGACTACCTCTATCGAAAGAGGTCTCAATCGATACAAAGCAGTGAATCAACCCTCGACTAAAGCAATTGATCCAATACTATCAGTCTATGGTGCTCTGTTGACCTAATCAGGTATTCGCTCTCATAGGATCAAAGCAAAATCAATAATCTCGACTAAAGCAGAATTGAATCATGAAAACATGCATAGATTGAATATGAACTCAAGATTATCAAGTAGGAGTACGCATAAAATCATCCAATCAAACAAACATAGCTAGGGTTCCTCAAAACCTAAGTGAAGGGAAGTTACTCCATAGAGAAGAGAGAGACTGCAGTAAGAATCTTCAGATTATCAGTCTTCAAGTCCGGGCTTGTTCCTCGAGCTTCCAAGGCGAAGAAATCCTCCAATTCTACTCCAAGAATGCCATCAAATCGCCCTCTCTCTCTTTGGTTCGTCCCTTGGGTGTTTGGGATCTAAAACCCAGCTCTCCCTTTCCTTTGGCTCGAAATTGGGTTAAAACCCAGAATTTCCCGACCACACGGCTATGTGGCTTTCCAGTCTGCCCGTGTGGATGTCAAAACACCGCGTTTCGATTAGTGGACTTCAGGCACGCTGCACGGCCAGAGGCACACGACCGTGTGGATGTCCAGTCTGGCCGTGTGAGCTCCCTGGACTTTCCATACGGCCACAAGGGGTCCCATACACGGCCAGTGTGATTTGACCGTGCAAAGTGGTGCCACAGGGCCAAGTCACACGGCCGTGTGGCATTTTAGGCGTGCCCGTGTGAGTTCCTCAGCTTCTCGCCAAACGTCCAATCTTCATCCAATCGACCCCGAACTCGTTCCCAAACCTTCATTCACGTACTAGGACCTGAAATATCACAAACAAGAACAACCTATCGTGAAATCGTCCTAAAACACGAGAATCAACATCTCAAACGGCTCAAGAATAGGGGTAAAACCATGTGCAATCAATGGTCTATCAAACTCCCCCACACTTAACCGTTTGCTTATTGACTCGCTACGACACAACACTTAACAATGGCCAAGTGTAACCAATAGAAGGGACTGCAGTATAGTGGCTCAAGTGATAAATATCGAATCCACGGGTCTCTAGAGTTACTATTACTCAGCTTCAGTTTATTATTTAGAAAACCAGATTAAGATGAAAGAACTAAAACTACTCTAGCAAACTACAGTTAAAGTTAATCTAATTACAGGTTGGGAACTCACTTAGGTATGATTCCCCCTAGCCACTAGCCAGACAAACAATTGATGATTTCCAACTTGTTTCACTTTCATTCACAATGCGGAGAATCCTTGACTAGACCTTGAGTCTCGACTAAAGGAACAAGGCCCTCTTGAGTCAATTGCCTAGAGGGACGTATCCTTCTCTAGAACAACTGATCAAGGCGTTCTGAACTAGACTCCCTCTATCGAAAGAGGTTCTCAATCGATACAAAGCGGTGAATCAACCCTCGACTAAAGCAATCGATCCACTACTATCAATCTATGGTGATCTATTGACCTAATTAGGTATTCCCTCTCATAGGATCAAAGCAGAATCAATAATCTCGACTAAAGCAGAATTGAATCATGAAAACATGCATAGATTGAATATGAACTCAAGATTATCAAGTCAGAGTACTCATACAATCATCCAATCAAACAAACATAGCTAGGGTTCCTCAAAACCTAAGTGAAGGGAAGTTACTCCATAGAGAAGAGAGAGACTGCAGTAAGAATCTTCAGATGATCAGTCTTCAAGTCCGGGCTTGTTCCTCGAGCTTCCAAGGTGAAGAAATCCTCCAATTTCACTCTTAGAATGCCCTCAGATCGCCCTTTCTCTCTTTGGTTCGTCCCTTGGGTGTTTGGGATCCAAAACCCAGCTCTCTCCTTGCAAAAACACACAAAACAGGCTTTTAACAGCCTGCGTTCGCGATCCCCGGTCAAAATACCCGGTCGGGTATTTTAGGTCACGACCGGAGATTTCTTGGTTCACGACCAGGGATTTTTGGGTCACGACCGGGGATTTTGGTTCACGACCGGGGATTTCACGATAGGGGATTTTTGAAAACGCAACGTCTGGAGACAGGGTAAAATCCCCTATCAAGGCCAAAAATCCTCTACCGGGGATTTTAGTGTCACGATAGGGCCCCCTTCTGTTTATCAGAGAAGCCCAAAACCAATTTTCCCCTATCTTTGATTCTTCGTTTCTCCCTCGTTCGGACTCCAAATCAGGTGCCGTTTGATCCCAGATGCTCGTATTCTCATCCTATTTCTTCTCATGACAAGATTACATGATTATATGGTCACAAACTGAGGTAAAAATCCCTTCTTCTTCAAGTCATACCCAAGTTTCTTCCCCCGAGTCGCCAATTGATCTCCGATTGACTTGAAACTTGCGCCTACGCTTCACTTTATGTGCTAGGACCTGAAATGTGACAAAGGAACACAATCTAGCGTAAAATAGGCCAAAGAAGCAATAATGCAAGCTTAAACGATCAAGAAACAAAGGGGAAAACATGTGCAAATATCGAGTCATCAAATCCCCCCACACTTAACCGTTTGCTTGTCCCCAAGCAAACCTTACTCAAACCAATGCATCTCTCCAGACCTCTATAGCGACATGCATCCTCGATCCTTGATAGAGGATTTTCTAGATCTTTTAGCAGCTTATGAGGTCAACCGACGCACAAGTCATCTCATAGCTTCTTCGGCGAGAACGCTAGTCTCGAGTCGGCATCATGGCAAATAGTGATCAGAGGACAAATGAATCGTGGACGAAGAGACTCTCAAAAACAAAAGATCATGGACTCACATTTTTCAAGGTGCTCTTATTTTCTTTTTGAAGACGGTTGGAACCCTTTTTTTTCCTTTTCTTTTGTTCTCTTTTTTTTTCTTTCCTTTTCAAGGGTTCCAACCCGATTTTCAGAAAACGGGGCTCCCACCTAGCAAAGGTTTTGCGGGAACCCGGCTCTTACCGGCCATGCCGGGAGCGAATGTCTCGAGCCTCGTGCGGGGAAAAGGAATGTAAGAGGGCTGGAGGTAGTAGGTGGAAATTGGGAACGAATTCCCGTCTCCCCTTACACACTTTCGCCCTATTCGCACAGGAGACGTTATTTTAAAGCACATTATCGAGCACCTTTTATTTCAAAACATGATACAAGAGTCCATGATAGGTAGAGAGTCCACAACACCTCACAATTCAAGGGTCCTAAGATCACTAATTCACTCAATCAACCAACACAATATGAAGAAGAAATGAGACTTCTTAAATGCATCAACATCCTCCATAGTGCTACACTACCTCCCTAGGTTGCATATTACTATAAAGACTGTCAATTCAAAGCATACTGAGCAGGCAATTGTAAGGAACACGTACTTGGAGCCCTCAAATTGAAATTTGGACAGTGGACTAGGCTCCAAGCACACAAATAGTCAAACATTCACATGGATACATAATCGAACATCCCCCCACACTTAAGCACGACATTGTCCTCAATGGAGGAAAAATAAGAAGGGTAGAACGAAGTTACCATATCCAGGGTGAATGATGGTGGACGGGGCAGGCGGCGTATTCCAGGAGGAGAGAATGGTCAGACCACAAACACCACACAAAATCTCACAAAGGTTGAATTATTGACTCTAAAATCAAATAACAAAACTGACTCAACCGAGGAGAAAAAGAGAAAGAAATGCAAACCGACTGGTTGGGTTGCCTCCCAACAAGCGCTTTTTTCACGTCGTGAGCCGGACGATGGCTCCTAAGTTTCGGTCCACCCCAAAACCTCT